CCATGTACACTGGACACCGTCCGCCCGCTGAAGCGATCAGCATTCATGTCATGAGCACCAGAAGCTACGACCAAAGGTACTCCACTGGAGTCCGTTGACCAAGTGTGTCAACGTACGGCCGCGCAACCTCCTCGGAAGCATGAGAAGAAGGGTTGTTGTTGTTGTTGTTCTTTGTTGTTTGTTGTTGTTGGTTGTTGTTTGTTGTTTGTTGTTGGTTGTTGGTTGTTTGTTGTTGCTGTTGCTGTTGCTGTTGCTGTTGTTGGTTGTTGGTTGTTGGTTGTTGGTTGTTGGTTGTTGGTTGTTGGTTGTTGGTGTTGTTGTTGTTGTTGTTGTTGTTGTTGTTGTTGTTGTTGTTGTTGTTGTTGTTGTTGTTGTTGTTTGTTGTGTTTGTTGTTTGTTTGTTGTTGTTTGTTTGTTTGTTTGTTTGTTTGTTTGTTTGTTTGTTTGTTGTTGTTGTGTTTTGTATTTTATTTGTTGTTTGTTGTTTGTTGTTGTTGTTGGTTGTTGGTTGTTGGTTGTTGTTGTTTGTTGTTTGTTGTTTGTTGTTTGTTGTTTGTTGTCGTTGTCGTTGTCGTTGTCGTTGTCGTTGTCGTTGTCGTTGTTGTTGTTGTTGTTGTTGTTGTTGTTGTTGTTGTTTGTTGTCGTTGTCGTTGTCGTTGTCGTTGTCGTTGTTGTTTGTTGTTTGTTGTTTGTCGTTGTTTTTGTTGTTTGTTGTTTGTTGTTTGTTGTTTCTTGTTGTTGTTTGTTGTTGTTGTTGTTGCTATTGTTGTTGTTGTGGGTTGTTGGTTGTTGGTTGATTGTTGTTGTTGTTGTTTGTTTGTTTGTTTTTTTGTTTGTTGTTGTTGTTGTTGTTGTTTGTTGTTTGTTTTTTGTTGTTGATTGTTGTCGTTGTTTGTTGTTGTTTGTTGTTTGTTGTTGCTGTTGTTGTTGTTGTTGGTTGTTGGTTGTTTGTTGTCGTTGTTGGTTGTTGGTTGTTGTTTGTTGTGTTTGTTGTTTGTTGGTTTTTGTTTGTTTGTTGTTGTTTTTATTATTTTTTGTTTGTTGTTTGTTGTTGTTGGTTGTTGGTTGTTGTTGGTTGTTGTTTGTTGTTGTCGTTGTCGTTGTTGTTGTTGTTGTCGTTGTTGTTGTTGTCGTTGTTGTTTGTTGTCGTTGTCGTTGTCGTTGTCGTTGTTGTTGTTGTTGTTGTTGTTGTTTGTTTTTTTGTTGTTTGTTGTTGTTGTTGATGATGTTGTTGCTGTTGTTGTTGTTTGTTGTTTGTTGTTTGTTGTTTGTTGTTTCTTGTTGTTGTTTGTTGTTTGTTTGTTGTTGTTGTTGTTGTGGGTTGTTGGTTGTTTCTTGTTTGTTGTTGTTGTTTGTTTGTTTTTTGTTTGTTGTTTGTTGTTGTTGTTTGTTGTTTGTTTTTTGTTGTTGATTGTTGTCGTTGTTTGTTGTTGTTTGTTGTTTGTTGTTGTTGCTGTTTTTGTTGTTGGTTGTTGGTTGTTGGTTGTTTGTTGTTGTTGTTGGTTGTTGGTTGTTGTTTGTTGTTTGTTGTTTGTTGATTGTTTGTTTGTTTGTTGTTTGTTTGTTGTTGTTTGTTGTTTGTGGTTGTTGTGCAGAATTCCGGAAGTCCCAAACCAATCCCAATACCGATGTGAGAACCATGGCCCGCACGGGTCCAACTTTGTTTGCAAGAGCCCAAAGGGAATCCCATGAATCAAGCAGGTAGGAGCTGGAAAGCGGGGCCTCTGACATGTAGCAAGGCACGACTTCGTGTACTGGGAGTGGGTGAGAGTGCACTGGAACCACCCAAGAAGAGACATTCAAAGCTCGTCACAGCTCGTCAAACCTGTCAAGCTCCTTAACTACCCCAGTGCCATGGCCAAAAGCAACTGTCTCGCTGGTTGGACGGCCATCCGTCGTCCAGGTACGCTTGCTACTGCCTGGTCTATGGTCATGGGAAGATGATTGCCATCAACTTTCTGCCGCTCCAACCAGTTCGGGGCGAACGTCACGTCGCCCGTGCGGGGCGGGGCCGTGCGGTCTGGTCTTCGGTCGCCCCCCTTCAAGACCATGTCTTAAAATAGGGAGACCACTGTTTCAGACAGCTAAGAAGATCAAAAATCAACTATACAAATCCAGTTGGCCAGAGAGGTCCCCCTCTTAAGATACCAATCCATATCAAACATGGTTGACCTGGGCTTGCAGTATAAGATCCTTATGTAACAAAGGTTGTTCTGGATTCAGGCTAGTGGGATGAATGGTGGGCCACAAATCTTAGGGCTAGGGGTTTCTCATTGCTTGGACTGCGAAGAAAGATGTGAGAAGCATATCAGAAAGGCTTGGCTAATGTTGCCCGCTTAGCCGTTATAATTGTCCTGGAACTGGTAGATGTTTGCCCGCTTTGATGAGTATCCTTGATGTTCGCTTGCCAAAGAAGTCTTCTGGATGATCCTTGTTTTCACAATCATCAATCAACGTCAATCAACGCCTTCAGGTCGCTCTTCGTAGTCCTGGGTGTGGGCGCTGCTGTCATGTTTTGAGATTCGATTCTCGGCTTCGCCGTGTTGCGAACCACTCGGCGAGCGACCTCGACGTACCGGGCCACTTCTGGTGCGATGTGATGAAAGCCATCAAGAATCATCAAAAGGTCCAGTTGAAGAACCAAAAGAATCCCAAAGACGGTGAAGGATCCAGTTGAAGGAAGCATCTCCAAAGACGAGGTTCACATCGGCCCTTGCAGGGGAAGTTCAGTTCACTTCGCATGTAGATCGTGAGTCAGGATTTCCCAACTCGCCATGGCGAGATCTGATCATTTCTTGGGTTTCTGTTCGTGATGTTCATAGGTTTTGATCATACTTTTCTGCATGGCGGTCTTTTGTGGCTCAGACGTCCTCACGAATGCAGCCCATTGGGTGGGCGCCAAAAAGTGCTTCCAACAAAAGGCCTCGGAATCATCAGCGATGGTGGCGCTGCTTTGGCTTCGATACTGGCTATGCATGTTGCTCTCTGGAGTTTATGGATCTCTCTTCTCCACCCGAGCAGAGCTGCGAGATGCGCTGCTCCAGCGCCTTGGGCTTTTTGGCCGCGACGACGCCGTACCGCGTGACGCCGCGTCGCGAACGCGAAGCCGGTCGGAGGCGTCGACGACCTCGCAGTCGATTCGGTTGATGCGGCGCGGCACAAAGAGACGACCAAACGTGCGCGCGGCTCGTTGTTCTTTTTCCGAGTATCCTTTTATGGTGCTGCACGGTGTGCTTTGGGAGATCAAAGCAGCGAGGCTGAAAGCCTCCTTATGTGTGAAACACTCAGGAAGTATAGTCATGAAGTAGAGCGACATAGGAATCCTTTCCATGGTTTTCCTCCAACAGTGATGATCCCCTTCATGATCTTCCCTTCCGACCTCTCCTTGAGCAAACACGCTGACTCTGAGAGGTGGCACAATGCGGACGAGGCCACCAAGTTGCAGCTGACCTCGTTGTGGGGAACGCCTGGTGAATGGAACGTGTCATCCGTCACCAACATGAACCTTAAACCAGAAGAGTTCATATTTGTGCATGTGAATGTGCTATTTTTCTTGGGTTCTCTTAACTTTTGACAATAAGCTTCGCGAAAGCTGCAAGCTCTTCAGAAGGGAAGGAATTGGTTTTTTCTCCGCTTTGGCAAGCAATGACAATCTGGAAGGTTTGAGAGAAATGGAAGTAGAGCATTTGGACACCTTTTCCCCTAGCTGCTTGCATCATTCCCGTGGTACCTTCAAGTGGAAAAATGGAGAGTGGCAGTACTGTGCATCAAAGGAAGGCATCAGCATCTCCCATGTTGCCGTGATTGAATTCAGATTGTGTCCCAGACGCTCCATTGATCGCAATTTATGGAATGTACCTACATTGACTTACATTGACGACTGAAATTACCTCATCCAAGCTGTGTGTGCGCGAAGCAACGTGGACATGTAAGTGAACTATATATAGTTGGAGGTGCTTACTCCCAATGGTTGATATTCCAGTCCCATGGATTGTTCCAGGTATGTTGGATTATTCCAAGTTTGGTTTTGGAAGAAACAGAGTCAGAAGAGACAGACTTAAACATTCTCCAGATGGTGCAGTCCGTGCACTTCATAAATAGCTCTTCAAGATGTGAACAAAACAACTGACAACATGTAACAAACAGGAAAATCATACAAAATCACTCAACTTGGAAGGGGATTTGGCACTCATTGCCCAGTTTGGAATCCAAGATACTCCAAACCTCAGGATTTAGCTGCATCTTTACACTAAGGAGTGGACTCTTCAAGGACTTGGACGGCTTCAATGAGAACATCAGCGCATGGGATACTTCGAAGGTACTGGACATGAGTTCCATGTTCCATGGAGCCACTGCATTCAACATGCCCATCGGACGTTCGGCCGCACATTGGTTCATGAATATGATAATATGAACGTTTCGGTGCCTGTTCTCATGCATTTCAGTGATTTTTGTTGAACAATTTGGGCGCCTCCCGTCCCAACTGCTTCCTTGTTCCGATTTTGGCGCAATCCATGGTCACCCCCCCGGCAGGAGCCATGACATCGACCCATGGTCGAACCGGACGACCGCCAAAAGAAACCCAGTGAGTCGAGCCAAGGCGCGTGGAACACGTCAAGTGTGAAGACAATACGCAAGATGTTCTACGAGGCGTCCAGTTTCAATGAGCCGATTGACTTGTGGATCACAGCGGCAGTCGTTGACATGGAAGACATGTTCTCTGGAGCCATGTCCTTTGATCAGCCCATCGGTGCTTGGGACACGGGCAATGTGAGAACCATGAACGGCATGTTCTACAATGCTGCCAGGTTCAACCAACCCATTGGGTCATGGAACACCTCTGAAGTCGTGGACA